TTCCTTCCTTCCTTCCCCATTTGTGAGGCTTACAGAAATAACACACAGAGATGTTGAAAAGGGGCCCTTGTAAGACCATTCAGTATAGGATGCAAAATAAGAGGGAGACCCATTTTTGGGTAGTGGGCTAATTCACCTCATCAGCTCTCTTCAGGCCAGGTGTCAGCTGACTGTGAGTCAGTGTGATACAGGGGAATCTCTGCTGCATCTCTAACCTGTGGGGTGGCATCATCTGGAGGTGGGTGAGATACTAGAGTAGACCCTCTAGGACAGATTCTGATTGTCTGTAAGCCTGATTAGGCCCATGGGCTATGGGGTCTTCTGTATCCCTGCCTCTGGTCACTACAACTCCTTCTGCCACTGCTGATCCTGTTAGAAGTCAGCGGTTTATTTTTATATTGTTTCTGTATCTGTTGAGTTGTTAACCCATAGGGAAGCAGTAGTGTCCCCTGAGCCGAGTGCTGTGGACTTATCACAGCAGTCAGCATCCTCCCTCCCTCCCTCTCTCTCTCTCTCAATCTCTCTCTGTGCAGGTGGCTGCTCACAGTGTCTGATTTCCGCACCCGGAACCAGCTCTTGTGTTCAGGATTGACTTTGGGCCCAAACCATATTGTCTTGCGACGTTGGGATGACCTGGTCATGGAGGACTATCGCATACACCTCCGAAGGGCATTGGCACGCCAGCGTCTACTGGAGACTCTCAATAGTGACTCTTGGGGTGGCAATCGCTTAGATGGGATATAAAGTCCGAAGGAAGGGAAGAACCGCAAGCAAATACTGTAGAAACGTGTTGTTTGTCTGCTTGTTATCCATTTTTCTTCCTCCTCCTCCTTTCTACTTTAGTAACTACTAAAGCTATTATATCCTGGTTTTCGTTTCAAAAATTCACAATCCAGTCTTATGCTCAGTACTAGCCTTTCAAGACTAAATTTAGGAAGAGGGCGCCCCCTGAAGGCAGTTTGTGGCATATCCCATCTTATGCTGTGTTGGGCTGAAGATGTTCAAAGAACTTGCACTTGCAAGGAGAGAAATGTATTCTGAAACTGGTTCCATGCAGGCTGTGCCTTTTGATCTGGGAGTTGTCCCTCCTCCTTGTAAAAGTGGGGCAAGCTGGTTGCGATTCCTGAGGGATGAGTAGAAATGTAGCAGCCCTTTTGGGGTATACTACAAAGGTATTTTGGGGCTGAGTCATGTATGCCTGTTAAGCTGATTGATCTTTAATTGGTGACTTGGGACCCACAAATGGGTCATATGCAGGCCTAAACTGGGTCATAGACTAATGGTACTATCACCACTGTTATCATCATATTTTTGCTGAGAATGTTTTTTCATGTTAACAGCATAGTGTGCACATAGGCAAATATAAAGGTAATGTTTTCCCTTGACAATTAAGTCCAGTTGTTTCTGACTCCAGGGGCCAGTGCTCATCCCCATTTGTAGCTAAAGAGCCAGCGTTTGTCTGTAGACATTTTCCATGGTCACACGGCTAGCATGACTAGACACAGACTGCCGTTACCTTCCCACCAAGATGCTACCTATTTATCTGCTTGCATTTGCATGCTTTTGAACTAAGAGAAATAAATGGTGGATACATAGTGTGCACATAGGCAAATATAAAGGTAATGTTTTCCCTTGACAATTAAGTCCAGTTGTTTCTGACTCCAGGGGCCAGTGCTCATCCCCATTTGTAGCTAAAGAGCCAGCGTTTGTCTGTAGACATTTTCCATGGTCACACGGCTAGCGTGACTAGACACAGACTGCTGTTACCTTCCCACCAAGATGCTACCTATTCATCTGCTTGCATTTGCACGCTTTTGAACTAAGAGGAATAAATGGTGGAAGGGGATGAAATGGGAAACTAGACAAAGAGAAGGAAATATAGGAGGAAGAAAAGAGGAATGCAGTAATGGAATGAGATTAATGGGCAATGGCAGAAATTTTTAAAGCGGCTGTGGGAAACTAGACAAAGAGAAGGAAATATAGAGGAAGAAAAGAGTTTCGAAAGACAAGAAGGGGAATGCAGTAATGGAATGAGATTAATGGACATATGGCAGAAATTTTTAAAGTGGCTGTCTTTGCAGAGGTGGATTAGTGGACCAAAAATGTTACAGATTACTTCTCTAACTCAAATGAGGGTAAGGTACTAGTTCTCCTCTATTCACCACTGGTTAGGCCTCATCCAGAGTACTATGCCCAGCTCTGGACACCGCTCTTTAAGAATGATGCCAACAAACGGTAGCAAGTTCTGAGGAGGACATCAAGCATAATCAGGATACTGGAAACCAAGCCATGTGAGGAAGGATTGAAAGAACTGGACATGTTAAGTCTTGAGAGAAGATGACTAAGAGGATATATGATAGCACTTTTCAAATACTTGAAAAGTTGTCATACAGAGGAGAGGCAGGATTTATTCTCAGTCATCCGGGAGTGCAAGATAGCGAGGAGAGGCAGGATTTATTCTCAGTCATCTGGGAGTGCAAGATAGCTAATGAGCTCAAGTTACAGGAAGTCAGACTTTGGTGGAATACCTAGAAAAACCTCCCAACTGTTAGAGCAGTACAACAATGGAACCAATAACTTTGGGAGCTAGTGAGCACTCCAAAGCTGGAGTTATTCAAGAGAAAATTGAACAACCATCTCTCAGATCTCTTTTGGATTCTGTTGCTGAGCAGGTGGTTGGACTTGTTGGCCTTATAGGCCCCTTCTAACTCCATTATTCTCTGATCCTGTGGATGTTGAGCAAAGAAATTTGCTTTTTCCCTACTTGGCTGAGTGAGGGTTGGAGGCAGGAGAGGGAAAAGTTACTTTGTTAGCCTCCAGCTCCCAGGATGCCCTAACCGGCATGGTTGAAATAATATTTCCATCTCTGGTTAGAGGTTGGAGGCCTAGGGAGAGTCCTCCTCCTTTTCTCTCTGCTGTCCCTGCCACACCACATGTCAGGATTCTACACATGGAAATGAATATTGACTCATTGTACAAAATGGGGGAGATAACCTTGTTTGTGACATAGCGTTTCACAGTATGCTTCCCACAAGAGTAATAGTAGGACCACCTTCCCTGTCCCATAAATGAACAGCAGATGGGCAAATTTGTATCTCTACTCCTGCAGCAATGAAAGAAATAGATTCCAAACACAGCTTTTAGACACTTCCTTGCAGAATATTGTTCTGCAATATTGTTCAGCCTGGTCTTGTCTTCAGTTCTTTTCTGAACTTCTTCCTTCCATGTTCAGAGGTTTGGCACATTAAACACTTCTGTACACCTCAGAATGTGTGAACCCAGTCCAATTTGAAGGCCTTTCCAGCAAACAGGGATATAGGGTAAAGCGGCTGAGAGGAAACGTGACACCTCAAACCAATGCAACAAGCACGTGGTCTCCATCACAGAGCATGATTTTAACTAATCTTAAAATTATTTTAACATTTTAGGATGATTTTTGGACTATTCTCTTTCTTCACCCTCTTGCAAATTCTGCAGCATCCAGCCTGATGAAGAGCCCTGCTGAGCTTGAAAGCTTGCCTGCATTTAATATTTTAGTGGAGTAATAAGGATAAGTACGCAAGTTCTTAGACCACTCTCAGTCAACTATTTTGCAGTGAGACTAAAAAAACCTACCACTATTACATGCTTCTCTCCCCACCCAATTTTACCCTCAACCACAAACCCATGGGGTAGTTTAGTCTGAGAAAAAGCATACTAGTAAGTCACGATCCATTAAGAGTTTCTTGCCTGAGTGAAGATTTGAACCTGAGTCTTGTTTTAAGACCAGCATTCTCATTACTGTATCATACTGCCTTGTTCTGGCACTAAACAGAAGAGAAATACTTTGTTCTGTCTTTTTTCAAGTTCTTCCGTATGTTTTCCTGTTGCTTCTATTCATTAGGCAGAGTGAGGCAACGGGCTCCAAAAGCTGGTTTTAGGTCATCCAGTGAAAAGGCAGCAAACTCTTCCATTATTGAATTTGCTATTTTACTACCAGAGAGGGGAAGAAATACATGTCCACGTTTCTGCCTCATGTGTCAGACAACTTGGCTGGCCTATGGACACTATGTGCCTCAATTGGGTGAGTGAAGTTGGGAGGGTGTTGTACTGCTGCAGTTTAGCAGCGAAAGGACTTGGACATAGTTTTCTTCCTTGCTACATGTGCTTCTTATTATTGGCATTGGTATTTATTTTATTCATTTCTTTATTTGATTTATACCCCGCCTATTTGGACTACTCGTCCACTCTAGGCGGCTTACAATATAGGATAAAACAATAAACTCAAGAATGTGCATAGTCGTTCAATAACAATTGTAATAAAGTAGAAGAAAATAAATAAAGGAAAATAGAAAGAAATCAGGTATTGACTGGAGGGAAGGCCTGGATGTATAACCATGTTTGTAATTGGGTTTTAAAGATTCCCAGCGTAGGTGCTGTGCAAATCTCCGGAGGGAGGTTGTTCCATAGGCGAGGAGCCACCGCTGAGAAGGCCCGGTTTCATGTTTTCTCCTTCCGGGCCTCTCTCGGCATCAGGCTTCTCAGCCTCACCTCCTGACTCGCGTGGGTGATCCGGGTAGACCTTGGTGGGAGCAGGCGTTCCGCCAAATATTGAGGTCCTAAACCGTTTAGGACCTTATAAGTAAGCATTAAGACTTTGAAGTCGACACGGAAACGAATGTGATTAGATTAAACGAATTAGACGTGCTAATAGATCTACTGTCATTTAACAATTGCCTGAGTGCCTAGCCACCAGGTTTTCCTGTGATTGCATCCAGATCAAATATGTAGAATCATATTGGGTTAATTATAGGAGCAGGCTGAGGTGCACAGCAGTCGTTGCCTGCCTTCCTAATTTCCTACATTTTAAAATCCCCTCTTCAAGCATTCCATTATTGCATGTTCTCTCTTTGTCACAGAAGACCAGTCCCCTGCAATTTGAACACTCATGCAAACTGACGAATTCTCTTCAGCTGTACCAGGGGGCTGTGAATATTTGGTGCAGAAGAAAAAGGATAGCATGCTGAGAGCCGCAAACCCTCTGCTGGATTTGTCGTCCCTGACTGGCCATCCTCTGGAACCTGTCTTGTGCCTGTATTCATGGAATCGGCCTATGTGGCTTCACTCAAGAGTCAGGAATAACAGAGCTCATGGCCTTGACACCTCTATCATGGGGCCTTCTGTGTATTTGTCTATAATGGAATTTAAAGACAGGTGCAGGGTGTTCCAAGGCCTTTTGTCCCAGTCAAGTACTGATCAAGCCCCTCAAAAGGAAAACTTCGACATGTCTACACTGCATCATGTGTCTTCAGACTCTTCTGTGGTACATTGGTGTGAAAGTGTTTTTGTATGAATAAGGCGTCTTCTTTAAAAAACAGATTAACATGTGCTTCCAGATTGTGCCAAGCATCTTGGGGAACAAACTGTATACCCTTTTAAAGTCCGGTCCAATTTGTTGGTTGCTTTCCACTGCTATTCCTTTGAATTCAATTTGTAAACCCATGCTTCACACATGTGCAAGTCAAGCTCACATGTACAGGCTGGTGCCTATACAAACTACATGCTACCAAACCTAGAAATCTCTATAACAGTCACAGGTAGCCATACGCTTGCAGGATCAAATTTATTCTTTACCAGAAACCCTAAGGGCCAAAAACCTGATGCAACACACCAGCTTGAGGGGAGGAGCCAACCACCTACTGCACCATTAGAACTAAGATGGTGTGCATATAAGTTGGAAATCCCTACTGCAAACCATGTTGTTGTTTAGTCGTGTCCGACTCTTCATGACCCCATGGACCAGAGCACACCAGGCTCTCCCGTCTTCTACTGCCTCCCGGAGTTGGGTCAAATTCATGTTGGTAGCTTCGATGACACTGTCTATCTCATCCTCTGTCATCCCCTGTAGTATATATCCTGAGTTGCCTTTGACCATTCAGGGCTAACTCCAGGTTTGACAGAACCCTGGGCTAAGCACTTTCAAAGGGTCTTCTTTTTGGTCTACTTCCAAAAGATGCAGAATTAGGATTGACCTGAGGCTGCAAGCTGTTATTTTCAGTCTTCCATAATGCCCTGGAGAAATCCTAAGTCTTAGTGTTAAGAGACTTGTGAGAGACTTAAAATATTGGTTGTAAGCAAGCAAGGGGCCCTAGGCAGGCATCAGTGTCCATGGACCCCGCCAGAACATTGGGGCTCCGGTAACGTAGGTGGGGGCTGAGGAAGGCTCTGTTCTCACCCCTCCTCTCAGTATTCTGAGCCAAAACAAAACCCTGTATAAAACTTTTCTTTTCTAGCCCAGGGGATACTGATATGTCTTTGGAACTTTCACCTAAAGAACCCTGGGCCTTAATTTTCTACCCACATCGCTCTCCAACATTGTTCTCAGTTAAGATGATTCCAAGGTCCAGGGGTATGATGGTGCATGGGGAAACACTGCTATAGTTGTCAACTGCGCTGCAGTTTAAAACCAGGAGGCAAGATCGGTATTCAAACAGGAGGTGACCTCAAGAGTTCCTTGTACTATGAGGTGGAGAGAGGGGTTAACATATGACTTTTGTTGGCTTGAAGACCCATCAGAAAGCCCAGTTACTGAAACCACTTCCTTGCTGAGTTACGTCTTGGAACTGTTATGATGGCTGTGATAAAAGCCACCTGGAAGAATGAAATTGCAGAATAAAGGCAGATTCACAAAATGCCTGCTTCACATTCTTCCTATCCCCAACCCCTAGGCATAAAACCCCAGCAGATCCAGCTGTTACATGGGCATTGATAATGAATATATTGTACATGGTTGGTATAGCCATGTGTCTCCCTCTTTTGTCACACACACACACACACACACACACACACACATGCACGCACAGACAAAATGGATGCAAACACACCTGGGGGAAACCCCTGGATCCCATAGAGTTTATATTTGCAAATAAAATCAGTAAATTACATTAGTTGCTCTGCACAGGCATTGGAGGCAGAGACAGGACCTCCGGCCCAGGACAAAGGGTTCGGTAGAGGAACGTATAAGGGGTGCATGTGTGTGTGTGTGTGTGAGAGAGAGAGAGAAAGAGAGAGAGGGAGAGGCAGATCTGCCTGAATGCCATAAGACTGGCTTAGGCAGCACAAGATTAATTACATTCATCACAGAGATTCTGCCCACAGGATGAGGTTTCCTAGAGGTACAGTTTGAGGGAATTGGGGGTAGGTGGTGGTAGGAATAAGAACAAAGATTCAGATCTGGAAATTAAAGAGTGCAGGTGACACAAAAGGAGCCATTTTCCCAGCAAAAATGATAAGGGACAGCCCCCCAAATCAAACATCCTAATCTAGATTCTAGCAGAGATCTCAACCCGCTCCACCCCTAGAGCATCTATGAAGAGGCAAGATAAAGTTCTAGAATGACAGAAGCCAATCGACTCTGCATAGCAAGGAACCAGATTGGGTTCTTAAGCAAGGATTCAGACACGCCCAGCTGCACAGGATATGATAGAGATGTACAATGGAAAGCCTTTTGGGCCAAGAGTCCAGCTGGACTTTTCAGAACAGAGATTGAGCCAGGCTAGGGTTTGTTTTTTTTTTAGATGGGATAACTTTAGATGGGATTTGGTCTCAGGAACCAACCTGGATTCTTGCAAAGGTGTAGTTCTAAACTTAAGATTAGGATATAAAGAATTGGGTTCCAGTGGCTCTCTCCAAGAAAAAAAAGGGGGGGGGTCAGAGGGAGAAGTCTACTATACATCGCACCTGGGTGCTACAAGGCCAGGTGCTGGGGCAGTGATCCCCTAAAGAAACTAACCCCAGAGGAGAGGATTGAACTGGGTTGAGGGGAGCATACCGACTCCTTTCCCTGTGGCCTATCCCTACCCAGCAATCACAAAAGTCAAAACACAACCCTGTCAAATGCAGGCATAACCACCCCCTATCCCACCCACCCCCACCCCAAATAATCATCCCAGGGAATAGATCCCTGAATCACAAAATCAACATTACATACTTCATTTCAGTACATTTAAGGCAAGAGAATTCAATGCTGCGGTTCTCGACCCATCCAGGACCAGTTTACCCATACACCACCCAGTCTTTTGTTGGGCAATTTTTGCTTTAAACCCATTAGACCCTTCTTTATTCCTTTTCAGAGAACCCAGGTGTCCTGCTCCCTGCACATTAACCCAGTAAGCCAATAGGCCATTTTGGAGGACTCATGATTTCCCACTTGACTTCTAAACCTCTCTCTCTCTCTCTCTCTCAGATACACGAGATCCATCCTATACTCCAAATAACAGAGAACAGGATCTTAACTGGTAGCAGCTTCCACACCCTGTTTTAATAAGATGCCATTTTTAAAACAGAAAGCTCAGGACTCTTGCAGTCTTCATCCCAAACCCTGATTGAATTTCGCCCCTGCTTAACCTTACCTCAAACAAGGAGATAGGTTAAGGAGCTCTATCTCATTTCTCCAAAGGGAAGCACCAGACACAATGTACTTGAGAGGGCATACTCTTGCTAAAGATATTGCTCCACTAGAGCTGGACAACCTCTGACTGTCCAGCCCAGAAATAATCATACTGCAATTCCTCTGAAATCCTTCCCACTGGCCATCCGGAGGAGACTGGATGAGAGTTCCAATCCAACAACATCAGAAGGACTACATATTGCCCACTTCACAGAAGCCATTAAGCCTGGTAAAACCAGGTCTGCTTGACATACTTGCCTTTTTCCATACAACCCCCCCCCCGAAAGTCTTGGGTTCCAAAACTGGGGCCTCTTCGCTATGTTTTAATGGTTCTGAGAAAGAAGACATTTGATCCTTCACGCTTTGCCCCCTCCCCCACTTGCTAGCCCTTCTGCTTCAACACAAATGCATCTGTTCCCTGTGAGGCCACTATGCTCTTCTTTTGAACAGCTTAGAAGATCTGGCCCCTTCTCCTGACTAGTGGAAGTTTGTGAGACCCTCCCTGCTCATACAGCACTAATGTCTTGCCTCCCATACCCCTCCCCCACCCCCCAATGTTAACAACGTTCTCTGTCTTTCCCAGAGCTGGCATGTGCATCTATGAGGGCTGCCCGAGTGAGGAGCTGAGAACGGCAGCATGGACTCCTCTCCTGCCTACATTTGGAGAGGAGGCCATCTTTCTCGCCTCCCCCCACAACATCATCATTTTGGAAGACATTCTGAAGTTTTGTTTGTTTCGTTTCGCTCCCTCGTTGGGGCCTGTGGATGGGAGGGGCCAACGTGGCCAGTCCGACGAGACGAGACAAGAGCCCTTTTCTTTAAAAAGAAAGAAAAAAAAAGGACAGCTGCTTAACCAGCAGCACACAGGTGTAGTATCAGCAGCTCATGTTGTTCACACTGTGAGGAAAGGATGACGTCTCACCCTGTGGCATTACAACATAGTGTTGGGTGGCAGCTGGGGTGTGGAAAGGCAGACGACCGCTGCACCTCTGGAACCGGGGCTGCGTGAGGCCACGCGGTATGGAGTTGTGGCTTTGGAGGCACAGTGGGAATAGCCACGTGGCATGTCACAGGAGGTGGCAGCAACAGAGAAAGGGCGCCACAAGAGGTGTAGGTGGGTGGGATGACAGTGGCGTGGCAAGAGGCATCCTGAGAGGGAGGCACAGAAAGCCACAAGGCCCAGAGCCATGGCATTACAAAAGTTAACCCAGCCATGCAAATTGGGTGAAGATGTGCAACTCCACTCAAAATGACCAGTAGCCCACTTGCCCGACAACACCCAGTAAGGTTTGCTGTGCAAATACAACATGGTGCACCTCTCTTAGGTCTTATCCTTTCACTTCTTGGGCCTATCCTCTCACACCAAGACAGCTGCTGGCTCTTTTTTCATATCCCTCTATAGCCTAGCTGCCTCACCTTGATTTCTTCCAGCAATTTCGGTCATCTCTCCTATGTATCCTCTTTAGGATTTCTATAACCAGGCCCTGTCTCTTCCTAATGCTGCAGACAGCTATATATCCCTGTCAAAAGGGGGCGGGGGGAAGATGCCCATGTGTACTCCTTAAATCCTGAATTTTCACATACTAGGCTAGGGAGAATAGCGCTCAAAGAGAAAATGGCTGCCATAAAAGAAATTTCTCCTTGCACTCATGAGCGCTTGTTGACTTTTGAGAATCATCCCCACCTTACATTTTCCAACCACAAGGGTTAGATTCACCTTATCATAATAAAAGCAAAGCTGACACTTGGAAGGTTCTGTGAATATCCTGGCTGCCCATGTAAATATTTTATTTGCCTGGGGCCTATCACCAGTTGAGTTTTTTTTGTGGTTTTTTTTCTTTGTTTTTTTGTTTTTTGCATGCCTGGGTTAATCATGTGGTCATGGAAGGACAGGGTACACTGTGGACCTTGATTGTGTCGGATGCGCAAGGTTACCCAACATCATGGAGCATGGGCACATGTGATGTGAGAGCCACATAATACAGAAATGTGGAGTGGCTCAAAAAAGTAGCGCACTACACCACGTGATTAACGGTCATGGAAGGATTTAGCTGTATGATACCGAAATACGGTTTCGGAGGAGCAAGAGTAGGATTGGCTAGACAGCACAGTCATGGCAAGGTGGTGGTGGCTAGCTGAAGATCTAAGTCACAGCTCAGGCGAAGTGGTAAAATGGGGCCAGCCACAAGGCCTAAAGTCACAGTTACAAGTCCCCACACACTTCCCCACAGCTCATAATCCCTGATGTGGAGATTAGAAAGGAAGGGGTCAAGGAATTCTTCCTCTTTCCCCTCCCTGTGGACGGAGCATCGCACACCGAGGATCCCAGCCATGAGCAGCATTGAGAGCCCCCCACCTCCCTAGCCTCTGTCCTTGCAAAAGCAGTCCGTGCACTGGGTTCTGGTGTCCAAATGGCTGCAATGGGGAAGTTATGGAGCACCCCCGGTACGCTGGGCTCTTTTGTTTCTTTGGCAGCTGAGCATTGGAGAGAAGGGGGATGCTCCATCCACAGCACAGATATGGTCATTATCCAAGACCCCACTGCCCTGGAATTCAAAGTGGTAGGAGCATGTGATGATGCTGAAGGAGACAGGAGAGACCCAGAATGGGAGCACCTACCCATACTCTTCTTTCTCTCCCTTTTCCCCATTCCAGTCCTTCAGCATCTGCTGCTTATCTGGATCTGGAACACTGGATTGCCAAGATACCCCTCTGGCAGAAGAACACAAGAGAGACACTCCATACACACAAACAACTTCTTAGGAGGGATACTAATGGGGAGATCTCTCCATACTGGAAGTGCAGAAATATGTGAAACATGCACACATGGAAGTGGTTCTGAAATGAGAACAAGATGAAACTTGTTGCTGACCCTGAGTATGCAAGGCATGAGCTAGGTAAGAGTGCAATGGCAGAGATGTGTTTAAGTATATAGACCACAATTTGTGAAAGAGCTGAGCTTGTGAACAGTTGCAGCCAGGGTTGGGTGTACTCTGGGACAGAAAGAGAAGGGGTAGGATCCATTTCCTTTTGCAGCACCAGTACTAATCCTAGGTGATGTCAGTTCACCCATCTACTGTAACCCATAAAACACAGCTCTGCTTCAAAGCAAACAGCAGCAGGTATCCAATGGAAAGTGCATTTTAAAAACATGGAATTAACTATTAATCCAGTTGTTTCTGCAGAAACTATGAATCTGCTGCAAGTGATCTAACAAAGTTCTTGCAAAATGAAATAAATTGGGTTCTTCTTAATTCTTTACGATACATCAACCACCTAATAGATGGAGGTGTCTGAAGAAATGGACTAGAACCCATAATAATGCACTACAGTAATTCTAGTTAGAAGTAAAATGACACATCATTGTGCAGCTTAATGCACAATTGCAGAAAACACCCCCCTCAACTGTTTAGTTACCTTACCCCAACATGGGCACCTCCAGATGCACTTGGCCTTCAACCACTATTATCCACTATTCAGCTGATGCCAAGAGGAAGGCCAGAATATGTCATTACCTTTGCAACAAAGAGGTTGCACCTAGGTTAAAAAATGTCAAGGAACAGTCTATATAAACACACCAAATCCTGCATGAACCAACTGTCTACAAGCTAGACCATGATGGACTAGAGACAAAGAGCATGTGCAGCACAGGATATCTGCAAAATTAATGGATGGATCTCATTGAACCAACATCTCCAGCAGGAATACTGAAACCAGCCAAATATTGAACCACATGGTCAAAATAATTTCACTGCCAATAGTGGCAAGATCAGCAAAAACTGGAGGACACATATCCCTTCACACAGCTGGGAGGTTCCAGATGAGACTTTATTGCACAATCACCTTGCCTCATTCATGAAATTTTATTTGGCACGCAGGTGGTGGTGAGTTTCAGTCATTATCTTCCATTTTCTAACCTTGTATTCTCCCATTGCTGTTGGTCCTTTTTCAGAAGGCAAGGGGAGGAATGTTGAGAAATAGATGGAATAGCTGCACAAATGTCTTTTGATTGCTAGCGCTAGGAAGTGTCTATCACCATCCTCTTTGTTGCAAAAGTAGGGTAGGGGGTGTCCCTCTCCTGAATTTGCAGGAAGAGCCACTCCTTTCCCAACAAGCTCAGCATCCAAGTTGCCACAACACAGTCCACACCACCTTTCCATTGGCCCTGTTCATAAATACCAGAGTTTAGTTGACGTTTTCTTGTGGGTGGTCTTACGAACCTGAAATCAAATGGGGCAGATTTGATATGGGGGGGGTATTCCCTTCTGATATTATTCCTCATACCTTCTGCCCCCATACAGTTCACTGATGCTGACATAATATAGTTGAGATGCTGCTGGCTCCAAGCAATTCTAGCTTGAATATTTCTTGACTGACATAGAATTAAGAGAGGCAGAACTGTACAGCTCCAGTAACAGATGAACTGTTTCATTGGTAGCCTCAGTTTGTGAGCCGTTTGGCCTATAAGCCTGCTCAGCAAGAGGCTTGGCACTGCACTGGAGCTACTGAAGAGTAAAACTGATTCCCTGCTTTGCTAAATTGAATCATGTGAATCACTATGGAAGATCAAAAGGTGCACAACTGGGTAGCCGTAGTATTATTAAGCAAGCAAGCAGTACTTGAAACCAGTAACATACTCAAGAGTGAGGCAGGGCTGTGTTTGTGCTTTGCACAGAAACACTGCTCAGTATCGTGTACAATATTCTTTGCATTCAGAGGATCTTGGCTTCCATTTAAACGGAAAAAGTTTCTCTTTCAGCTGTGAAGGTATGCTTGGATGGATACACCTAATGCCCAATAAATTCTTGTAAGATTTATTGGTGGGGAAGGGGAAGGAGGGGATCTCAATGAGATTTCTAAGAAGCTGGGAATTGAATCAATTTCCTCCCTTTGCTTCTATCTAGAGCAGAATTCATTTTGCAAAGAAACCAAATACAAGCAACTCTAACTTTTGTTGGAGCTTTTTTTTTAAGGCAGAGTACTTAACAACCCTGGTAATTGGGAAGATGCACATGAGCAAGTTTCTACATGGTGAGAAGAAATGATGTGCAAACAAAAGCTGGAAAGGAAGTGCAATCAGCAACATAGTGAATGGCAAATATATGCAGGTATTAAGCTGCTGTACTATAGATGACTGACATCAGCCATCTGAGCAGCATGGCTGGTGAAGCAAGCTCCTATGCCAATGGGGAATGACATGTGAGTGTATGTATATAGGTAACATACAGACACAAACGCACATAGTTTGGAAAGTGAAATCACACAACATTAAGTGTCTGTACACAAGTGTCAGCGGCATCAGTTAGATGAGTGAGATGGGCAAATTGCTACATGGCAACGCAAAAGAGGAAAGTGCACACCCTGTAAGGGTGCCCAGGCAGGCTTTGGTGAGCTTCTCAGAGTATCTCTCTGCCAGGGGGAAGGGAATCCCCACCCTACCCTGACCCACAGGGTCTCTCCTTGCAGCTTCCCCTGTGCCCGGCCCCATAGTTGCAACCCCTCCACCTCATTTGTTCTCCTCAGTGGTGGAGATCCATCGTACATTCAGGTGAGAGGCTTCCCAGGGCAGGGCGGTTTCCCCCATCACCTCTCTAGAAAGAACTTGAGGGCACGGGAGATGTTCATGCGGTGCCCAACTCGCGTCACGCCCAGATCAATGAAGTCTTCCTTCGTGAGGGACGGCAGGTGAGAGCCATCAATTTCGTTGTCCAGGAACCGATCGCGGTGCTCCCCCAGCTTCAGGTAATCCAGCCAGTCGGCCACATCGTATTTGGTCCAGAAAGGCAACGGCTTGGAGCCGAACGGCTTGTCCGTGGCTGGCGGCAGGAAGTGGGTTGGCGACAAGGAACGGCTGCCGGAAGGGAAGCCTGTGAAAGGGTGCTCGCCCCCAGAAGTGGGTGAACCGCGGAGATCAAAGACGCCGGTGTATATGGGCACAGAAGGCAGGATGGGAAGGGAGGAAGGCCTGGGGGCAGGGCTAATCTTGTGCTCACTGGGCAGGGCGGCTGGGCTGGGGGCGCGCCGCAGGGCTGGGCGGATGTCAAACTCCACACTCTTGGGATGCTTGCCTTGCGGGGACTTGGGCCAGTTGTGGAAAAGGCTGCTTACAGGCTTGGAGATCAGTGATGGAGATGTCTCATCTGGGAGCCTGGAGAAACAAAGACAAGGCATGAGAGACTGTTAGCATCTACAGTTCTACCTGCAGGTAGGTAACAGGGGTAGGTGTTACCGAAAGGGTAAGTCCCTCCTAGCAGTTCTGAAACAATCTCTAGGATGGCCTTTTCAAAGCAGCTACTCTTTACTGGACTACAACTGGACTCCCACAATCCCATAACTGGCTGCGGCATTATGGCAGTTGACATCCATCATCCTGAGGAAGGCTGCCCTATGAATTTCTTTACTGGCCCTCCCCTACAAGTCCTCAATGTTAGGATAAGGCTCTGCTGTATGAATGTTTAATCACAAACCTGTTGATGATCACTAGACACAGGCTGTGCATAGGGAAAAGTCACTTCACAAGAATACATGGGGAACTGTGGATCAATATCAAAAGTTCGGTGGTGAGCGTAATAAAAAAAGGTAAATGAGGAACATTTTTTTCTTAAATATTTGCCATGGATGTCTTGACAGTCAGAGGCACAAGGCAGGTATCCTAAAAATGCAAGATACAACTCTATTCCAAAGTTCAGAGGTTTGGTCTGTTTTGTTTGCGTGTCTCTTATTAAATATCTGAATCTTCATCAAAACAAGGTCTTGACTGAAATGACCTGAAATGACTTTCACAGTGAATCAATTCAGGTTTTAAATTAAGGAAAATAATATTTAACATAGAATTGTTTTTCTGCAGTTGAATTTATTACTATTTATTATTACAATATGCAGCCTTCTTGGAGCGCATACAGATCTCTCCAAGTCCAGCTTATCCCCTAGTGATGGCCATAAAGTGGGGAAAGGGCCCTTCCCTTTGGAAAGGTATTGTAAGCCAAGTACAGCATTAAGCCTCACAGGACTCATGGCTCTGTTTCACAATGGCTGTGGAAAGGGAAGGAATTTGAAGAGGTATCCTATGCTATCAGGGCAATCCCAGCTTCTCCTGCTCTTTAGAGGTAGATGTACCTGAGATGCCTTCCAGTCCATCTCAGGTACTGCGGAGAGGATCAAATACAAGTCAGCAACTGTGGGCCCCACTACAAACCTATCTCATGCAATGTATGAAGCAACACTGAATTGCTGGAAGGAGAGATATTTGTTACAAACCCGCAGGGGTGGGGCAAGATTATAGCAAGAAATGGATTCCTGCTCTCTCTCCTCCGTTCATGTTCTACAACAGTTCAGAAACACTTTGATCTCTTATCTCCAAGCTCCAGTTTAGCTCCTTATTACAGAACACCTTCTATGCTACCAGCCTTTCACGCCCTGCTCTATCTCTGTTCTAGCCTATTAGAATGATAATTTCTTCTTGGCCCTTTCTCATTTAAAATGAGAAAGCACCCCAAAAAGGACCCCCCCCTTCCCTTCCACATGCAGGAGTTCTATCTCACAATCCACTTTTCCTAACTACTTGAAGTCAGACTACTTTAATTATATGTACTGGGTATAAGATTCCAACCTCCCTTTTCACCAAATCAAATGGCATTCGAGGAACTGCAGTGAATTCTCCCGGCACAGAGGTGACTGCAGATGAATGACAGAATGGAGCAAATAAAACTCAGCAATGTGACTGCACTGAATGAAGAGGATCTGTGAACTCAGTGTGTCTACTCCTAGGCACATGTACACATGCAGTGCCTACAGCACCAAGGCAGTCCCGTCGCACTATGGGAATGCAGGAAGCAGAGGAGGTGGCCACTGGGAGGCAATGTCAGCAAAAAAGGAGATGAACCAGACATGGACGATTCAGTTACACAGACACCAGACAGCTATCTATGATTAGAGCCATAAAGTGTAGGTGACTGCAAAGGTGGGCAACTAAACCTCAGAAGCTCCAGAACACAATGTATCGCACCCCATCCCCCTTCCAGATAGCCTAAAAGCCAGATCTCCTGCTATAATATTTTAGAATCTACATCTTTAGGTTCTTCCCTCTGAGTGTGTTTGAGTACAGTTCCCATCATACTCACAGACAGCCTGCCTTATTCTGGGTAGCTGCATGGATCGGGTAGAAAAGATAAGTGAATGGGCAGTTTGGTCTCAGATAGGAAGTGCCCCCCTGCCCAAGGCCCTTTGTGCAAGCCTACTTCAAAATCTGGACCTGGTATAGAGAGTAAGGCTCAAAACCCTCTCCAGAGCCTGAGTGAATGGAGTATTCCCTAAGAGGCACCTGGCTGTCCTTTGCAATGTCACAAGGCAAGCACAAGGAGTTCCTCAGCAGGCACATCTGTTGGAAAGTGTCAGAACAGATAAAAGGAAATATTACTTCCTTCAGTGAGGAATTAAATTATGGCATTTGCTCCCAGTGAACATGGTGGTAAACAGGGATGGCTCTAAAATGGAACAAAGGAAATTTTGTGTGTGTGTGTGTGTGTGTGTGTGTGTGAGAGAGAGAGAGAGAGAGAGTGAGAGAGTGAGAGTGAGAGAGAGAGAGAGAGCTCCTGTGGGAATCTTTGTCAACCACCATCTTGATCTATATCAGCAAAAGAAAAAGAAAAAAGAAAAGAAAAACAGCCCCTCCAGTCAAGACAAAAAGCTAGAGATCTGGGAAGGGTATGAAGTCTTAGGCATATCACAGAAACAAGTGCCATCAGGAAACCTGCCATCAAAATGAGAAACCAAAAAGGAGTCCATGGCAAAAGCGTTTCTGCGCTTCATGAGCACTGAGGATCTCCTTTCACATTTCCATACGGATAGCTCTGCATAGTTGACCAGAAGATTCCCTCACTCCTTCCACCAATGTTATTGGTTACACTCACAAGTTAGTGGCTCAAAGGCATGCCCTGAAAAATGTTCATTTGCAGCAGGAAATTCTGAACCACCGAATCAAAAACACATGCCAATGAATTTTTGGCCAATGTATGTTACAGTCAAAACCCTCACATTTTCCTCACTCTTCACACTCAAGATATCTTTAATATCTGACATTAGGGAAAGATCCCTGTCTATTACTGTATTACTCTGAAGATATATATTTGCTGGAATGTTGTCCAAGCCTGGGACTTTGTAAGAGGCAATCATATCTTGCTTATGCAATGAATACACATGGGCACACAGAGACTCTATATACATGTATGTGGTGCTGCTTTAGATGTGACTGCATGACTTTGCCAACAACAGCTGATATGTGTATCTAGCAGAGAGCATCTCTCTTCTGCGTGCACACAAGAGCAACACGGAATGGTAAGTGCCTGTACTTTAGCTGTCAGCCAGAGATATAGCAAGCATAGGCACAAGGAGAAGCAGAGTGGGCACCCTTGCCCATGAAAACATGAGGTGTGAAGATTACTGTTTATAGCACATCTTTGTCCTGAGCCTGCCAATACAAGCAATGTGATGGTGGTTAAAAAAATTATTTAAAAAAAGCCAAGCATTGAGGGGAGAATGAGAAAAGGAGACAAACCCAACTGAAACACGAGATGCGGCATGCACGGGGCTCGCTTCCTGCCTTCTGCTCCTGCTCCTGCTCCTCCAGGCGCTTAGTACCTTTGCCTCTGTAGGGAACTAGGCCTCTCGGAACCAAAAGAAGCCACTGCATCAGGTGGCCGTGACCAAGACACCCCACCCATCTGCTGCAGCTTGGTGCTCAACTCGCTGATGATGCTGGCCTTCATGGTGGACATGGGGGAGGCCTTGGCTTCCTCCCATGGCAATGGAGGTTTCTGTGACAGTTCTTTGCCTGGCTCAGTGGCGGCTGGTTGCTGGTGGTAGGGAGGGGCCGGGGTGAGGGCAAACATGTTCTCAGTACATGCTGAAACCGAGATAGTGGAGCTGGTTGGGGTAGCCACAGGCAAGCGGCCTGGGAACGGCCGGGAACGTAGTTTAGTCTGCAGAGGGCTCTTGTCTGTGGTAGTGCTGCTGCCACCTCCACTGCCGCCTCCTCCTCCACCACCACCACCACCACCACCACTGCCGCCGCCGCTTCCCCCAAATGCCTGCCCGTCCAAGTAGGTGATGTAGGTGTCCAAAAGTTCGGTGCCTTCCCCTGACATGCTGGACAGTGTGGAGACACTGCTGATGGTCTCCAAGTGGTGGTCACTGCTGCTTCGGCTGTCCACCTCCTCAATTCCCGAGTCGGTCACTGCTTCGGGGGCCTCTGCTGCGGGGATGGCAATGGATGACACGACGGAAGAGAAGTTGACATGAGGGGCCTCCTTGGTTTCTGTCGTTCCAGCTTGGGTGAGAGTAGCCACTTCGCTGTCGTAAGAGGTCAAGCTGGAGGCTGTGGAGTCTAAGGTAGCTGGGGCAGAAGGGGCCGCTGGAGGCGCCACGGTTGGGGGCAGCTCATTGGAAGCTTTGGGAGGGGATTCTGGTTTATCAAAGCTGTTGGAGAATTCGAGGGGTGGCGGGAGTGGCTCTGTGAAGACAAACTCATCGTCAACGTCAATGGAAGGAGCAGGAGGAGGCAACACCAATAATGGGAGCCCGTTTTCTTCAGCCACTCGCTCTGCCGGTGGAGCAGGGACCTCAACCTTCCCACTTTCATGACCTCCTCCTCCTCCTCCCTCCTCCTCCTCCTCTGCTGGACGACAGTTTTCCACAAAGCGCACATGCAGCTCCAACTTCTCTCCTTCCTCGGGCCGTTTTTCCCAAGGGGTGACCTTGGCTGAGGTTGGAGTCTGCTGTTCAGGTGAGTGATGCCGGGGGCTTTCTGGTTCCTTGCGTGGTGATGCCGGCCGCTGGTGGGGGTGATGCTGCTGCTCTGATGTTCCCCAGAGACGTAAGATGGAACTACCAGGGGATTCAGGGGTTTTAGGGGTCTCCCCAAAACGGGGTGAGGATGGCCGTGAGTGTCTGTCTTCTCGGCTTTCCTGCTGGGACTGGGACTCCTTTAAGGCCCGCTCACGAGCAACTAAGGCGAGCCCCAAAGGGGATCCAGGATCCAAAATCTTGCCAGTCAGCGGGTGAATGAGAGGAGTTGAATGGGGCTGGAACTGGGGCAGGAAACTAGAGCACACCGAGGTAAAAGCGCTGGTGGTGCTGGCTCCATATGTTTTAGGGACACGAGACTGGAAGTAACCAGAGCTGCTCCCGCCAACAGCACTGCTACTGCCAAAGCCAGGAGCCATATTGAGCTGGATGTAGGGATCACTAGAAAACATGCCTTCATCAATGGATTTGGAGTGGCGGAGACGGGGCATGGGGGTCTGCTGGGACTCATCATCTGGCTGTTCAGTGGAAAGGAACAGGGCAGATTTGCGCCGAGCCTCGCTGTACCACTCACGGTCCCGCCGGGCAGCCCCAACCAAGGCTGCCCCAAACTGGCTGGTGAAATCCATACTGTTATGGAGCTGAAGTGAGGGGACAGGCACCACTGGCTCTGGCTGGCTCTCTGCCTCCATGCTGCTCCCTTGGCTACTGCGCCCGCTGCTGCTAGTTGAGGGAGCTTTAATTATGATGGTGGGGATAGGGATAGAGCTCTTCTCAGGTGGTGCAGATGACGGGGGCTGCAATGTCGATGGCTGCATCTGGGAGGGGCCAGTACCCTGCTGCTGCTGCTGCTGCCGCTGCTCATCTTCCACCTTGGTCTGCTTGACCAGTGGCCCCTTCCGGCGCATGGGCTTGGTGGGAACGTACATGGCGGTGTTAGTAGCCCGTGGGGGCAGGTTGTAGTAGCGAAGGTCAGGGGCGTGGCCACGCCAGCCACGAGCGGTTGACCCCTCAGCCCCTTGTTCGGACTCTTGGCGATAAAGGGACATCTTGTCACGGATACGTGGGGGTGGTTCATAGGGTGGCTCCTGATGCAAGGACGCCGAATACAACTTGGCCTCAGCACTGGGATTGAAGGTTGAGCGGGCTGAGGGCGTAACTCGACCAGATGCTGAGGGGGAGGTACTGCTGTATGGGGGGTCAGGTGGGGAAGTGGTTGGAGGTGGTGGGATGTCATCAGAACCAGGGACTGAAAGGCTTCGACTAAACTTCATGCTAGGGGGAGCGAGGTAGGGCTTATCGTCCTCAGCAGCTCCTGTGGAGGGAAGCAATGCAACCATCACCAATTTATTCTCCCATTCCTCTGTTGTTTGACCAAACAAAACTACCTCTGTATTTACCTTCACGAAAATACATCCTGCATCTATAATAAGCTATCATGTGGGAAGTTGTTTCTCTGTCATTACTTGTTATGACAGGGGCTGGACTTAATGATCTATAAAGTCCCTTCTAGCTCTGCAGTTCTAAGATGTTGATTACCACTGGTTATTCTTCTTATGAGTTATTGCTCCAATAGCTTGCAGTGAGCAATCACACAGTGGCGCTTCAAACAGCCAGATTATTGTGTAATAACTGTATATTCCCAAGGGTAACATGGCTATAAAATTTTAAACCTAATTTCTTAGGGCCCCAGCCTAAGAAATTCGATCAACTCAGCACAGTCAACAGTCAGGATGACAAGGAAAATGCAATCCAAAGCATCCAGAAGGTACCAGTCAGGACACCTAGAGCAGTGGTGCTCAAGCTTGGGCAACCCCAGGTGTTCTTGGACTGCAATTCCCAGAAACCCCTGCCAGCAGAATTAGTGGTGAAGGCTTCCGGGAGTTGCAGTCCAAGAACACCTGCATTAGCCAAGTTTGGGAAACTCTGCCGTACAGCATCTATAGAACTTTTTTCCTTCTCTGTTCCTACCCATCTCCTTTGGCCCACTTACAGAGCTTATTACATTCTCTCCAGACCCCATCTCACCAATTGACTTCTGGCGGAGCATCATGCCTGGAGGATGACTGGTGGGTAAGTATGAAGGGCGCTCATAGCTGGCCTGGCCAAGACGGTGCTGATCAAAACTAGGCTGAAAAGAATAAAATAAAGACAGGGATACAAAATAAGTCAGAACATTTGTAATGGCAACAATAAAGGCAGGCAAAAGAACCAAAGAAATGTGCCCAGAGTGAATGACAACTGTTAACAACTACTCCTTCTAAGACTGAACTGTACTGAATTTCAGTATCAACAGAAATTAATCCAAAATGAAGTTATCAGGAAACAAGAAGGTATTGCAAAGCTGATGAACCCCAATGCTAATAAAAGTACAAAGATTTTTGGGGAAAAGTTTTTAAGAGGACAACATCCAATGCCAAGGTTCAATGAAGACTGGAGATGTTCTGTTGTCACCAGTACTGGATTAATGTATCAGCTAAGTAAACTTAGGGTCCCTGATTATGTGACGCCTGTGGTTTCAAAAATTTTACATTTCTCCTTCTGTTAGAATTTCTTTTCTTTTACTAATGCTATGAAGCAAACTTGACATTGGAATGTTAAGTGACAACTGGCAGGGGAAGCAGGGAGAAAGAGTGGAATGTCCTACTTGGTGTGACTGGATGGCTTGAACCCTTAACAGAAGTTACCCCGTTGGAAGGATGGACATGTTGCAACATTCTGTTGCAATCTCATTCTTGGGTGAAACCTCTGTCTTTGCACAATGAAACCTGAATGTTACAAAAACATCTGAGATGAACATGCTATTGCAGCAGACTTGCAATACTGATCTGCTTAAAAGTTAAAAGGAGTAAAAATAAGGCAGCTGGGGAGAGGGCTGATTCACATAATGGTGAAACATTTCCTGTTCACACCTGATGCCCTCCTTATGTATGGGATAACTACAGCCATCACCCAGCCAGCATGCTTAATGGATGTGTGACGTGGTGCTGGAGTTTAAAAAAGAACTGCTGGATAGCTCAGTGGTTTCGATATCTGACTGTAGAGCCAGAGGTTGGGAGTTCGATTTCCCACTGTGCTTCCCTGGCAGTGGCTGGACTCAAGGATCCATAGGATTCCTTCCCACTCTGCAGTTCTAAGACTGCAACATATCTGAAGGATCCCAAGTTGGAAACGCCCAATGTTACTGTGTTGCTGTCCTCCACATCTCTGCCTGGTCCTTTTTTTTGCCCTTTTCCCTTCAAACATAATTTCTCCAACAGTATACAGTTTGGTACAGGTCTGCTGGATAGCTCAGTGGTTTAGGTCTCTGGCTGCAAAGCCAGAGGTTGGGAGACTGATTCCCCGCTGTGCCTCCTGGACAGAGGCTGGATTCGATGATCCTTAGGGTACCTTCCAGTTCTGCAGTTCTATGATTATTATTTTAATGTATTATTATTATCCTACCTCACTTGAAAAATAGTTCTTGGCAGTGCCCCGTGACTTCCCCAAAGAAGGAAGCCCTCCACTTCCACACCCATCACCTACGCTGATCGTCTGTTGAGCTGCTGCCAGGATCTCATCCAATTTGTCTGCAACGAGGAGGAAACAGAAAGAGGAAAATCATCATAAAAATGGAAGACTGCCACCATCTTAATACAGTTATTCACAAGGACCAGTCTACCTCCCTTTACCCATTAGACACAAGTAATGCTCTTCTTGATCAGTTTGCTCCTAGGCAGAATCATGCTTCAGGTGACCAGGTTTCAATTCTGTTTTGTTCCATCCGTCACCATAATCAGTATCAATGTGTTTAATGTAACAGAGAAGAAATGTGTACTCAAGATTCAGTATCAGTAATCTGTGCCAAATTAATGTAGGTATTTTCTTGTTTAGGAATTAAAGAGCATTGCACCATAAGATCAGGGTCATAGGAACATATGAAGGTGTTTTATACTACTACTCATCTTGTCCAGTGTTACTTACTCTTAAGTGTGGGAATCTGTAGTTGTCCAGTTGTTGAATTACAATCCCCAGCATCTCTGACTGGTTGTCATGCTGGCTGGGGATGATGGGAGTTGGAATCCAAAAATACCTGGAATGTCATAATTACTCACTCCTGGATTGGCAGATTTTGTGCTGAACACTGCCCTGGATCTAGCCAAGGCAGCTAGACTCTGCTTTTATATTTCACTAAGAGGCAGAATATTTGATATTGTGACCTGGCAATCCAACCTCAGAGGCTGACGCTTGTTCTATTTCTGCTTACCATAGCATTCTATTATACTGAAGATGCACATCTACTCCCTAGCACAAATAAAATGATTCCATGTCATGCTTACCCCAAAACAGCCAAAAGAAAAATGAGACTTTAGGACCTGTATATGTCATGCAAATGGAGTAGATTTTGAAAAATTTATTTTACACAGACTGGATATTTGTGCTGAGATAACCCACTCCTGCCTACTGACAGGAGCACTGGGGTATGCTTTGTACTCACTCAGAGCCATTTGATAGACAGTCCGCTTCTTATCGGGGCCCATTGTTGGCTCGTAATCTGCAGAGACGACAGGAGGGGAGGATAATGGGAGGGTGCAGGGTGGTGGTGGGTGGATTGGTGATGGTGCATCAGGGAGGACCAGTTTGTGGAGCTGCCCGCACATAAGTGGGTGGTGGCGACGGATGAGAGCGTTGGTGGGAGAGTGCAGAGCAGGGTTTGGGAAGAGGCAATGAGAGATAAGCAGGTGGGTCAGTGTGTGTGTGGAGGGGGGTGAGGAATGTGTGACACTCACCTGCTGCTTTCTTCTTCCAGGGGGAGACTGAACGGTGAGAGGGAAATAGTAAGAGGGGAAGAAATTAGCATCTCTGCTTGTGAGAGAACAGGGGACTGGGAAGGAGGTCTGGGACTCCAATTTGGCACTGAAGGGAAGGGCAGAGTATCAGGTAGAAGATGTTGAGGGAGAGACAGAATCGGGGCATCAACCTATCTGTCTCTGCCCACAACTGGGACTATTTTATGTGTCAAGTAAAATGGGGATAATCGTAACTAGTTTCTCAATTAGCGGTGGCTCTTTATATCCTGCTGGATTGCAACTCCAGATCCTGATGGACTACAACTCCCATCAGCCCTAGCTGGCATGGAGAGGGACCAAGGGAGCTGCAATCCAATGATATCTGGAGGACTGCACATTCCATATCTCTGCTTTAACCTTTCTCAGGTGGTGATCTAAGAAAAAGTATGTAGGTAGTATTTTACCTAGCAATGGTAAAACAATAAAATGATTAAACAAGTAATCATATCAGATTACTTATATTGCTGTTGATCTCTGTGTCTGTTTGGTTTCCGCAAAAAAATCCCCATCACATACCACAAAATCTCTGGCTCTCTAATCCTTGACGCAGGAGGATCACTAGCACTGGTTAGAACCAGGTCACAGATCAAAGCAGGGAGACATCCCTTAAGCAGTGAGATGACTTACAATATCCTGAAGGGCCAGGGGCAGAAACCACTGTGTCCCCGTTTCTCATAAAGGGAGGTGTGCGTATGTGTCTGTGTACGTGCATGAACCTGTATGTAAACCAAAAGTCCCCTTATTTTTGGGGCAATTCTGGGGACCAAGGGAACAGGAGCTCACCTTTCTCCACTGTGACAGGTCAAAGATTTGAGAATCCAAGGCAGCAGTGGGTGGACAAAAAAATGAAGATGGAAACAAAAGTAAAGTGAGAACATACCGCTTCCCAACACTACCATCATGATCCAGAAACACTGCATGGTCTGTGTTTATCGACCAGCATGTATTTCAAATTTTGTAACCATTCCAATTTGTCAAAATCATGCAATCAGAATAAAGATGTTGATTTTGTTTATGTGACCCAAATAAGAGAAGGTTTAATTTTCTCAATTTATTCCAGCTGTAAAATCAGTTCTGAATAGACACTACTTTCTTTGCAGATACTATCCCAGACAAAAATATAGGATTCCCCAGCTATACTGTAACAGTAAAACTAGGATTTTAATGAAATATGAAAAAAAGACTCCAAGTTCATGATTCTCTAAGTATATAATTGAGCATGGCTTTCACCATAGCTAGTCCTATGTTTTAGTATTTCTGTTGGCATCAACCTCACATCTTATGTAATATTCGCTGTTTCCCCTCTGAATACATCCAGGTGCCTTCCTAATTACGCCACGATCACTCTAGTTTAGCAGCCCACAAAGATAGCTTTCAATTGGAAGAAAACATAATCATGTTCTAAAACAGTCGTTTCCTTGGGTTACCTTGGGTAACTCAGGTGTTCTTAGACTGCAACTCCCAGAAACCCCAGCAAGCACAACTAGTGGTCAACGCTTCAGGGAGTTGCAGTCCAGGAACACCTGGGTTACCGAAGCTTGGGAACCCCTGTTCTAAAGCAACTTCACATCAAATTAGACCAGCAGGTCAAATTATCACCTGGGGTCACCTCATAGCCCCCTTTGTCTTAAGTATGCCTTCTGTAACAGTCATCAGATTTAACTCTAGCTGTCTAGAGTCCAATGGAAAGTTTCCTTTCACTGTTGTTGTTGTTATTTCCTGGTCAAGCTGGTTCTCACTGGCAACCCTATGAATTAATCACTTCCAAAAGTCCTATCACCAATATTCTTTCATTATCCAGGGTGAAACCATAACCTTTTTTTCCTACTCTGGTTGAATTTGCCCTAAGCCACTACTCCTTTGTGTTCTAGGGCCCTTAATAACAGCTCAACTGGTTGTTCAGTCTGATTCATGTATCAGCCTATGTAAAATGGGACTGGGCAGCCTTTGCTGAGTGATCTGGAGAGATTACTCCAGTTATTTCCTAAGCAGAGCTTATATAAATTATTATTTTTTGCAATATAATGCCCAGAGTCTTGAGCCAGCACAGCTTGTAACTATGTTGACTGGGGGATTCCAGGACTTATAGTAAAAAATATATAACATACTAAGCTCTGCATATAGTGCAGTACATCTTTCCCTGCTGTATAAAGTATGTAGGTATGAGAAATACAGCATGGAAAGGGTTGGCAAAGACAGCTTTTTTCCATACACTAGCCATAGGAAACAATAGCCAGTGACCATTCTTACCCATTTCTTCCAACTCAGATGTCATGGATTTGGAACGCAAAGAGATGGCTGGAGGGGGCAGTCGTCTTGTCTGCTGTGGTGCAGCTGAAGTTAAAAACAAAAAGCAGATCAGAAGGTGTGCATTACAATATTCTCATCACCAGTCATTCAACCAATCTCCTTGCCCCACACCTTCTTCATCTCTCAGGAAACTTAGGCCATATGCTGAGCCACCAGGGCAGGGATAGACAATGTGTTGCCCCCCAAATATTGCTGGACTAGAACTTTTGCCATCTCTTACTGCGGATATGTCAGTAATGTCTGATGGGAGCTGCCAGCCAACAACATGTGGAGTTCCATAGGTTGGTCATCGCTGTACCAAGATAAGGAAGGGGAGAAGTGAAGGTGGCAGCATAACAATGAAAGGCAGATTTCTTGGGGATCATATACAAATCAGTTCCAGTTAGTGCTCCTGAAGAAGAATCACATAATCTGAAATGAACCGAGACTAACATATAGCTCATTCTACATCTCTGAGATCTCCTTCCCTTTGATTTTTTCCAAGGCTGCAGTCCCATTAACACTTATCTGTGAATACAATTAATTAAACTTAATATATTTCTGAATGGGCAAATATACAAACTGTGTGGTCCCTTTCCAGGCATAGTTTTGCTCAAAAGGAACACAAGGATTTGAATTCCAAAAACCTTAAGCTTTCATGAACATGGAAAACCACACAACTGCCTTATAACAGGGGTTGTTTCCAAACAAGGTTTTGATCCTGCAGATGTTCTCCTTCAATTATGGAATTTTGTGCACTTGTGGTCTATTAATAAGCCACTACAGTGGATGTCTTGCTTCTCAAGCCACAATAATTTTTCTCCAGAACCTGGTGGCCTTTTACTTCTGAAATCCTTGATGAAATCCTATTTTCTCTCCTCCCTCAAGAATTACCAACAGCAGTGGTGTCAGGTCTGGATTTAGAGGCTGAAGCCAGGAATCCATTCACTTAAACATGAAGGATGGCCCACAAATACAACAGTGATGGCTTAATATCTTTTGATGTAAGTGGAATGTGGTAGCATGCATTATTATCCAAGGAGTGGAAGAAGGCTGTAAGGTCATTAAGTCCACACAGTCTAAAATGCCTTAATGACACCAATGATTATTACTCCTGGACAGAGCTTGGACAACTTCTCTTTTTGGATTACAAATCCCAGGATGCACCAGCCACCACGTGTGACCATTCTGGTTAGGGGCTTCAGGGAATTATAGCCCAAAAAGTAACTTTTCCACATTTTGCAGTAGGTCCTAGTGAAATTTCATGAGTATAGCCTCCGTATCTCTATCTTAAAGGCTGCTTTCTCCATTTAGGGAACCAGAAGCTGTGTGTACCAGAATGCACCATGGTACCTTTCTTCTTCATGGCCTCCTCCATTTCTGGGTTCCGCGTTACCATGACAACTTTCACCATCAAGTTGTTCCCGCCCTGACGAATCATGTTGACAACCTGTCTGTGGCCCACCTTCACCACATTCTGTCCGTTTACCTGGAATGAAGGTGTAATGGTTAAGTTGTTGCAAGAGACCTGGGCAGGGGAAGAAGGGTCAGAAGAGGGGAGGGTAACAATGACAATATTGCTTTTTCCTAACAGTGAGCTCCCTATTTTCTGCTGCTTACTGGTCATTATGGGAAGCAGGAAGCTAAACCAGACAGAATTTGGTCCAACCCAGTAGGACTGTTCTTTAGTGGTATGACAGGAAATTTTGAAGTGGAATTGTTCATTGTTTCAGTACTCACAGCCATGTCCAGAAGGAGTGTCCCAAAATGCAGATATCAGATCCATATCAGAAAAAGCAATTTTAGCAATTTTTGTTTGCCTTCTTAAAGACCCCAAGGAGCAGGTATTTTGTAAAGCTAATGGAAATTAGCTACTTCTTCAAGGCCAAGTCAATCCAATGCAATTTTGTACTATAAGAATAGCTCATAATTTATTCTTCTGGAAATTCCCTATCTCTGTAGCTGCAATTAAGATTGCAGCTAAGTTTAGAGGGGAAAAAGGTAATCCTGGGGGTGGGGTGCCAGATGATATTAGTATCCATGTTAATGAAAACGTCCCACAGGCTGGACATCATTAACTCCAGTTCCATTCCAATAATGTTCTTCTTATGTTTCTTATCACTGATACGGACTGGTGGAAGAATAATGGAGATGCCAGTTTTTGAAGAAGACAAAACAAAACTCACACATTTACAGGATACACTATTTAATGAAAATGCATTTGAAAAGAAAAAACTGAATGAGCCATTGAAACTATGAACTTTTCTTTCCATCTAGGAAAACACTAAAATGTACTGAAGCTTTTTAAATTACTGATTAAATAACGCCACAATGTGTGAAAGTTTTCAAATACTGGAGCCCAGTACAGCTGCCCATAGAAGCCTCCTATATCATCTTGAGGTGCATGGCATGAGAGTTTGTGACACATCCAGTATGTCTGACATACCTATATCTAGGCTAGACTACAACAATATGTTTTGAAGATGATTCAGAAACCTCAGCTTGTGCAGAATGTGGCCACTGGCATTTTTACAGGAGTTGCAAGCTTGGGTCTATTTGCAATAGTTGCTGAGGCATTTCCAAGCCCATTTCAAGGTTTGGGGCTTGATCTTTAATGCTTTAAGTAAGTATCATCCATATCTTGTTAACCTGCATATGTCTAATTCTCTTAGTTGGTATCTCTACAAGGTTCGGGGACACCAAAGATAGTGTCTTAATCATGATGGCCGTATGGATGGCTCCATCTCGTATTCGTTTTAAGAGGGTTTTTACAAACCTACCTCTTTTTTCATTAGATTTAACCCAAGCATTTTTCCTCATAAGCGGTGCTTATAGAACTGATTCAATTTAAACTTCTTTTACAATTAATTTATGACATATGAACTTGTCCTATTAATATAAAATTTAATGTTTTACACCATAAGTAACTTGGGGAGAATTGCAGCCTTGAGAAGTTGGATAAAAATATATCAAATATTATTTTTGTAAAGTTATTAAAAGTTCTGAGAGGAGTCGTTGAATGGGCCCCTCCTGCCAAAACATTACCTCAATGAGGAAATCCCCCATGCGGAGACCAGCACGCCAGGCCACGCCTCCTTCATCCACTGACTCTAAGTACTGCAGAGCAGGGAAAGCGGGAGTGGGTGTAAACTCCTCAATTGGGGTCTGTGCTGTAAAGAAAAGATATGTTAAGTGATGCCTCTAGAGCTAGGCTGAGAAGCTAAGGTGGCACCCAGAGGGCAAGATACAGGACTGGGGCTTCACCTGGCATCCCCTATGAAATAATACAAACGCTGTGCTTCACCCGCATGATCTGTTTTGCACACTAGGAATCAGAAATGCAGCATGCTCACAAAGTCAGTGCCTTCATGAAAAAACACTATCCTTTCTCTTATTACTATGAAATTGCAGCCAGTAAGGCTAGCCTATGGAAATTTGCTTGCTGAGGCAAAGGACAAGATGGTATCCCTTTCCTACGTTCACAAGCCAACTGGTCTGGCAGTTAGATCTTATTTCACCGTTATTGATGGGATAACATCTTTCCCCACACTTGAAGAAGCAGGTTGGTTTAAAGGGCGCAGGATATGCAGGTCTGTCCTCCAACTGAATGGAACAGCTGAGGAGTTCATGAGCAGCATCTGGGAGCTGACCACTGCTCCCCCCCACTCCCGGACCTGAGGCCTGAAACAGTCACTTTGCTCTCTCTGACAGAAAGGTCACCCAACTCCCACATATATCTGAGATGAGGGTGTAGGCTTCTACGGCAAGGATATTATCTTCAAAGCAAATCTGAACATTAGCATCTCTTATTTCAAAGCACAGCACACAACTTGGCGCTCTTATTGAATACAAGCTAAGGATCAAGAACCAGGCAGGTTGGCTTTACATACTCTACTGGGTGGTAACCCCTACCACCCATTTCTTAAAACCAGTTTCCTGTGGTCCCCCAGCTTTTGCTCCATAAAAGATGGCACTGTAGCCCCTTTCTCCTCTCTATCAACTCTCCTATAGAGTGCCAGAATGTAAAAAAGGGCACCACGGTTTAACCTGTCTAACCAGTAACTAATCTTCATTGACCTGTTTGGAGTTTATACCCTTGTGGACTCTGGAGCAGAAAAAAAAATGGGAGGGGTAGGTAGATGGGCAGTGTAGACCTGGGCTTTTTCGACAGGCAACCAAAACATCTAGAGCTGGCCTTAATCTCCATGGGTGACCCTTATTCCCCCTCTCACCCTTGGCCCCTCTTAGCACAAAGCCAAAGCCTTCATTGTCCTTCTTCTGCAGCAGCACTGTCTTCTCCTTAATGATGTAGTCACTACAAAGGAAAAGAGATGATAAGGGCAGGTTAGGAGCCAGCTCCACCTTAAAGGAGATTCCCAATTCAGCCATTCTGTACAGACAATTACCACAGTGAACACAATACTGTAGCCCCACATAATTTATCCTGCCAAGATAACATCCTTCATGCACAACTTGGCTCCACATCTCTTCTCTCTGCTTCCTCCACAGCCCTGTACAAAGTTCTGATACTGCATACAGAGCACCTTCTACTCCCTGTAATCAAGGAACACACTGGATAAGAGAACACAACTGTCAAGGTTCTCAAAGGGCATGCAAAGTGCATGAGGAAAAAAGCACTGCAAATGTAGAAGCATTGCATGGGACTCTGCTGCACTAGGGTCTAGAACTCTGAACGCAAGCAAAACATTCCACAGAGCTGAGGCACTGGGTATCTAGAATACACAGCACAAGCCAGAATGGAAGCAACACACACTCACTGCAAATGAGGTGGTCAAGTTGAACCCAGTACCCATTTAGAATGCACTGTACAATCTTCTACAGCATTAGTGTTACACATATAAAGAGCAGAGCTCTACAGTCAAAACAGAACTTGCTTTGCCGGGAAACAGTTCTGGAAAACATGTTTAGCCTTAGGCTGTCAAGGGTTATCCGGAACAAATCACACAAACCAAAGTGCACATGGACTACAAACTATATTCACATATGCAAATGAAAAGTTTACTGCAAACACTGAATACTGTGTCTAAAGTAAAACACATTGTTCACACCTCCTCAACAGTGCAGAAACAATGTCACAAAGTAAGGAGCACAAACATTCCCTCATTCTAGCTGCAAGTATGGTGAACACTGCATAGTCCTCTCTGGCACCGCAAATTCAGCCATCGTTTTACAGTGTTCCAAAACTGCAAATGCAGTATCGGCGACTCATGTTGATGGCACTGCAAGTTTCGCAAGAATGGCACAAACCCAGATGGGATGTTCACTGTGTCCGTAGGCTTTGCTACCACCTGGGATGAAACTATCAAACATATTACCCCATCCCTGAAATGCAGTGCACACAAAAAGCTGGGCCTCCTGCAATTCTGGCTGCTAATCGTAATTACTGCAACTGAAGCCACCCTGAAGCCAGTCATCCACAAACATTATTTCTGCCTGTGTAAATCCCAGTTTCTAGTTACATTGCACATGACATGTCACATGCCTTGCAAATGTACATACAACAGGTCTTACAGCAGGACAATACACCATCCGCTGAATCAAACACTGTCCAACTGCCATGTGTGATGAGCCAGTGGGGGCTTGATATCACCTTCCTCTTTTCATTGCCCTCTTGGGACAGCATTTAGCAGGCCTTATGAAACACCTGGATGATGCTTGGCTGTGCTGGATTTGGTGGGCTGCCAGTTTTAAAGCTTGCTCTACTCAGTATCTACCCAAATCTGTAGCAAGCACACATCTGGTGCACAATGCACACCCAGTGGCCAACATTAATGTGCAAATACATATGTTCATTCCAGATACAGAAAAACACACAATTCCTATTTGAAATACTGGGGCACATATAAGAGATATACTCTTTGTAACAATCCTCTGTAACACTTCTTAGTAGCAGAGGAATACACACAAGCAGTACACAACAGACAAAACACAAACATATAATACTGCCAGGCATATGAAAGAACTTTTCCAATAAAATAAGGTGGTTTTTCAGGACACAGAGCAAACATGGATAAATGTATCAGACAAATATATAGCTATAATTCCACATAAGAACATATTGCACCAGCATCTCATGCTAGGAAACCCATCCCCTCTTCAATTCTGGTTCCCTTACAAAAAAGTGGAGTGGAGAGGATATACAGTACTTCAGAAACAATGCAAAGAGGATGCATCTTACTCGTTTTAAGAGTGACAACTGCTTCCTTCTTAGCAAGGCTGCCCAGCTAGAATGAACCAGGAAAGTTCTGGTAATCTTCACAAGGAAGAAGACAAATGAAAGGGCACTTCCCATCCATTATTTATCCCATCTTCTAGCAGCGGTGGGGAACCTGTCTGTTTCCATATGTTGTTAGACTACAATCACTCATTATCCCTGAACACTAGTCATGCTGGCTGGGGCTGATAGGAGTTCATTTTTAAAGCACCTGGAGAGCAGCAACAAGCTCTCCCCATCTCTATTCTACAGGAAGGAGATTTAACACAATACTGTATCAGATTAAGACAGGGCTAGCTGGGGATACAGTCTTACAAGAAACTCAAAAGCACTAATTTAAAAACAAGCAAACTGTCCTCTGTATTTTGGACATTCAATCTCAGCATACTAAGACAGCAAACTGCAATGGGGAAGGCAAGCTTTCCTTTTTCAAAGAGTTGTATGTATATGAATTTTCTGTACAAGGCTGTTCTAAACAAGGCCTAGGAAACATCCCATCTTGGTTCCTAACAGTAAATGTCAAACACAGCTAAGCCCAAAACACAGCTAAACCAGTTCCCCAGAGTTGCAGTTTTCAACACTGCAGCATAGCAGTGTTCCTAATTTAAAAGGAAATGTAGCTCCCTCATTCCACTAGATACAATTTAGGCACAAGTTAGCTAATATGTTCAAGAAATAACATGCACATATGCAAATATCAGGATGTACTGAACCATGTACCGTATGTAACGCCCAAATGTTCAGACCAATATAATCAGATACATACCAATAAAGACATTCCAGAAGTCACATCTATGTGTATCCACTTGAACATTTGCATTTGTATGTGGATTTACAGTCTGTCAAGTGGCTACAGGTACATATTGCCATATACATACAGAAAATGCATGTGGGTGCACATTTAAATCAACCATTCCTGTGTATAAACCTGCAGATATTCTACATTTGCCCTCATGAACCGGTCACAATAAGATACAATTGCATAAGTTTCAAATATCTACTGTATCCTATCAAAGCTCAGTACGAACATGACAGATACAGTACGCACAAAATACAGTACAGATAAAATTGTATATAGACAAAAAGAAACACAAAATCTCCTTGCACACAGAACTATATTGCCACAAATGTGCCAGAATTGTGTACCCAAGAGAAAGGAGTGGCTTTTAGTGCAGAGCCAGGATTTAGTACATTGTACTAGCTTGCTGTTCAGGCCCTAATGCTCTACTATGAAAAACAGAGCAAATTTTAATCCACAGTGCACGCATGTCATGCATGTACACACATGCAAGCACAGACCAAATACAGCAGAGAAAGGCACATGCATACATGCATAATATTTTTTTCTTCTCAGGATTTCTGAGCACCCATAAAAATTTCAAAATACAACAACGTTTTAGACAACCACATTGATCAATAGCAAAGCTGTATGCAGTTGATGGTGCCCATGCATGCCCTGCCCCAGTCACACACCCCGTGTGCCCATACATAGATTTTCCCTTTTAAACACACGTGTCTACAACACCATCCCAAAGGGTACAAAGAACCAACACCTATACAGTATGGCCTTCCATCATCCTCCCATGTCTGCATCGTACACAAAGATGCCCAGCTGGCCACACTCTGCAGAAAGCCATTCAGTGCACGCACCAAAAGGCACAAATCCTGTAGTCGGATCCCCAAGCAATCTTATACGCATACACAGAGCCACACCGACCAGGGGGCAGAAATGCATCTGGTCTGTCTCTCTCTCTCACACACACACATACACACACCACGTCCTCACTGACACACAAACGCGCAAACCTCTCAAAAACATGCACACACCTCTCTACAGCAGGCATGTTAATTTCTCCACGGCGCGCGCCCGGATGCGCGCGCACTCACATACCTAATCTCTCTGGCAAGCACTTTCAGCTCCTCACACACCGCGAGTATGGTCACACTTCAAGCCCCCACCCCCCACCCCCATGCATCTATTCATGGGGGGGAGGGAGGGAGGAGGGCGCCCAGGCTGAATGGCCGGATGCATGGAGGGATGGAAGGGAGGAAGGAAGGGGGGAGCGCGGTGCGTAGAGGGCGCGAGCTAGGGACCGGCAGCCGCC